GTCCCCAGTGTCTCCTGTCACCTCCCAGTATCTCCCAATGCCTCCCAGTGTCCCCTGGTACCTCCCAATGTCCCCCAGTGTCTCCTGCTGTCTCCTGTCACCTCCCAGTGTCCCCCAGTGTCTCCCACTGTCTCCTAGTGCCTCCCAGTGTCCTCCGGTGCTTCCCAGTGTCCCCTGTCACCTCCCAGTGTCCCCTGGTGTCCCCAGTGTCCCCTGGTGTCTCCTGGTGTCCCCTGGTGCCTCTCAATGTCCCCCAGTGTCTCCCAGTGTCTCCCGGTGCCTTCTAGTGTCCCCTGGTGTCCCCAGTGTCTCCTGTCACCTCCCCGGCCCAATGTCCCCCAGTGTCTCCCACTCTCTCCCGGTGACTCCCAGTGTCCCCTGTCACCTCCCAGTGTCCCCTGGTACCTCCTGATGTCCCCTAGTGTCTCCCAGTGTCTCCCGGTGCCTTCCAGTGTCTCCTGTCACCTCCCAGTATCTCCCAATGCCTCCTGGTGTCCTCTGTCACCTCCCAGTGTCCCCTGTCACCTCCCACTGTCTCCCAGTGTCCCCTGGTGTCCCCAGCGTCCCCTGGTGCCTCCTGGTGTCCCCTGTCACCTCCCAGTGTCCCTGGTGCCTCCTGGTGTCCCCTGGTGCCTCTCAATGTCCCCTGGTGTCTCCCAATGTCCCCCAGTGTCTCCCACTCTCTCCCGGTGACTCCCAGTGTCCCCTGTCACCTCCCAGTGTCCCCTGGTACCTCCTGATGTCCCCTAGTGTCTCCCAGTGTCTCCCGGTGCCTTCCAGTGTCTCCTGTCACCTCCCAGTATCTCCCAATGCCTCCTGGTGTCCTCTGTCACCTCCCAGTGTCCCCTGTCACCTCCCAATGTCCCCCAGTGTCTCCCAGTGTCCCCTGGTGTCCCCAGTGTCCCCCGGTACCTCCTAGTGCTTCCCGGTGTCCCCGCCGTGTCCCCCACTCCCCTCTAGTCCCCCAGGGGCTCGTTAAGGGTCACACCAGGACACGCAACAACGCGCTAAGAGGACACGGGAGGACACACTAAGACACCCCTGCCCTGTCACCTCCCAATGTCCCCCAGTGTCTCCCAGTGTCCCCTGGTGTCCCCAGTGTCCCCCGGTACCTCCTAGTGCTTCCCGGTGTCCCCGCCGTGTCCCCCACTCCCCTCTAGTCCCCCAGGGGCTCGTTAAGGGTCACACCAGGACACGCAACAACGCGCTAAGAGGACACGGGAGGACACACTAAGACACCCCTGGACATGCCAGGACACGTTGGGACACGCCAGGACACATTGGGACACGCCAGGAC